TACTTTATAGGGCTTCATTTTTATATTTTATGGAATATATCTGTTATTTAGGTTTGTAGAAGAAAATTCTTTAAATAAAAATTGCTTGCAATGCTGTTCTCTATAATTTTTGACATATACATAATTTTCATAAAATGGTCCGTATTCGAGAAATTTAATAAAAAGTGCAAAATTCCAATTTTTTAGAAAATTGTCTAACTAAAAGTTGTTTTATACAAAAGTGTAAAATTTTAATTTTTCAGTATTTTCGTTGGCAATAAAATGTATAAAAAAATGTTTAGAATAAGATGTATGTGGAAAATGTATATAGTTAGTTCATCCTCTATACATTTACAGGGTGATACGATACGTTATACAAAATATCCTGCAATAATTAGACAAGAAAGTCACATGTTAGACACATTAGATTTTTAATATTATATTCTATATTATTTTGTTAAAATTATAACGTATTATGTCAGTAATAAATCTATTCCCTTTTTAGGGGAGGCGGCATGGCCCCTATGGGCCCCATCCTGGAGCCTCCCATGCTTTTAGGAATATTACATTGTTGTCATGTTTACTTTAACCCTTAAGTTGGCAACGTATCTTATAGAGTACATCAAAATTATGTTATTATAAATACATTTGTGCAATACCTATGTGTATTCTGGGTACTCGTCTGGGTAGTATACTATGTTCTTTGCTCTGCTGGATTCGTTCGAAGCTAGCAAAGCACCCTGTATTTTTTAAAAATAATAACATTTTTCGAGAAGTTTTATAATATTTTAAGAGCTTAAACATACCCTAAAAATATGGTGTCGTTGGTTTTGGAAAAAAGCTTTAAAAAACTGAGGTGATCTGCTGACTTCGTTCGAAGCTAGCAGAGCACCTTGATTTTTGCAAAAAAAACGAGGAGCATAAAATTTTCAATAAGGTATAAAAATAGCCTTAAAATAGCCTAAAAATGTGGCATATGTTTCAACTCAAAATTCCCGTGGTGCTTTGCTGCCTTCTTTGGCATTATGCAACAATACCAATGTGTTAGCCAATAACACATATACAGGGTGTCCCATCAGTGCGTAATTGATCGACAGCTGTTTTATAATCAGAAATACGAAGAAATTTTGTATTTAACAAATATTTAACAGATATTTAACTAATATTCTTAAATATACAGGGTCTTCCATAAAAGAGGTGCTGACCAAATCTACTTTTTTTGATATCTCTAAATTTCTTAATGACAATCTCTCATTCCCAAATCCCAAACAAAAACATCCATGATAATTTCACAATAATATTTTTCTTCAATTTTAAAATAATAATTTAAAATTTCGTTATCTGGGAATTTCCCTTATCAATACATTTACAGACGATAAATATAAAATTTTAATGTAAGTAATTTTATAACAGACTTTGTTTTCTCGGTGTAAATTGTAGGAGATACCAACAGGCAGTTACGGAATTCACCCCGTATAAAAATATTCTACACCGACCATAATTTATTTTAACACTCCACTCATGGAATGCAGGCTAATGTCTAATTGCTATTAATCAATGGTTGAGGCTGTCTCATAGCACGACTGATCAAATTATAACTCTGAGACTGTATAAAGTAAAATGCTCTCGGCTACAATAACTACAACGTCCATAAATAGTGCGTTTACACTTCCATAATGTTTTATGCTCGTCCAAACCGATATGAAGGCATAAAGCTAAGCGGCGGATTTGTATGAATATAATTATAACAAACACTTTGAATATTGTAGGTTGCAGAAATAATGTAGATAGGGCATTTGGCGGATCTCTATCGAAATAACGGATTTTCTAACCTCTTTTACTGATCAATTTAAATCCGATAAAATATAATAAACCAAACATCCATTATCATACTTGTTCCTAAGTATAGAGAGTAATACAGTTTTTTGTCCTTCTGCTGACAAAGCTGTACACACAATTACCATAAGTTATACTAAAAGTAAGACAAATTAAAAGTAAGTCGTATTAAAAGTAAGTTACGTTGTAAGTTAGGTTAAATAGAAAGTCAAGCGCGTAGTTAGGTTGTTTCCTTGGGGGGGGGGGGGGGGGGGGGGGGGACACTTCTCACAATATTGGTGAATGCGCAACGTGTTATCTTAAAATATGGTAACAATACAAAATGCAACGTGTGTACTTCCAGAAAAAAAAAAGAGTTTTATAATGAAGTTTTTAATTTTCTATTTTTTTTATACAGGGTGTTTCAGAATAAAGTACCGTAATTGGGGATTGGTGATCTCAACTAATTATAAAAAAAGCCAAATGTAATTTTCTTATAAACGTCCCAGTTTTTGTTCTACAGGGTGATAAAATTTATTTTGTAAATACATAATTTTCTTACAGTAAACACTTTAACTTACAATAACCGATTGGGGTAGAATCAAGGGAAGGAAACAATTTTAATCAAAACTTTTTGAACATCCTATATGTTATAAAACTTAAGATTTATAATTATTTCTCACGCAATTTGTCACAAAAAAGGGATAATAGGATCAAATAATAATTAAAGAAATAATTAATTGGAGGATATATATTGAGCAAAGTAAATGGAGTAAATTATATTGCACCATGTTATAGTCTATTTTTATGTATGAGATTCATAAGTATTTCTCACGCAATTTGTCACAAAAAAGGGATAATGGGATCAAATAATAATTAAAGAAATAATTAACTGGAGGATATATATTGAGCAAAGTAAATGGAGTAAATTATATTGCACCATGTTATAGTCTATTTTTATGTATGAGACAGTATTAAACTAATAAAGCATTCGTAATCCATAGGCGTACCACTACTTTTAGTAGACAGTTAAAATATTTTTTGAAGTTATTCCTCGAGTATACACTTATATTTTCACCTGATTAACCTGCTTATAACTTCTAAACAGCTGAAGGTAAAAAAGTGCAATTTTTTCTAAAATGTTTTATTTTTCCACAAGGTATGTTAAGAACATTGTGTCAAACGCGTTATGCAGGTATAAGGGTTTAAACTTTGACTTTTAAACAACGTTACGTTCATAAATAATAATTTTAATATAAAAACTACTTCTTACCTACAAATCCAAATCAGAATCGAAATCAGAAGATGAACTGTCGCAACCAATATTTACAATGAGTGGCATGATCATTTCATCAGTAATATTGTCCAACTTCCACATTTTCTCTTCTTCTTTTATCGTATGATTTACTGCCTTTTCCCAGTTTTCAGGCTTCACATTATTTACAGCCTCCATAAACAACTGTTTAACATCACTCATTTTAAAAGAATTATTTTTTCTTGAAACTTCTCCCTTTATCTGTGCCTATATCAGTTCAATCGGGTTTACTTCGCAATGATATGGTGGTGATCTAACCACCGTCATCCCACGATTTTTTGCAATTTCATCAATTTCATATTTTTTGAATTTCTCTTTATGAAGGGAACACAAATGATACAGTTCTTTTCTCACAGAACCGGGATGGAACTTAATATTCTTTGAATTTAGCAAATTCTGTAAATCTTTTTTTAACCACTTGGTTGTGGGCATTTTTTCTATGAGTCTCGAGTAATAACTTGCATTATCCATTACTATTATACAGTTCTAAGGAAGAAGATCTTTAATTTGTTCGAACCACTCTTTATAGACATCAGCATTCATGTCCTCATGGTAGTCACCGGTACGAGTAGATTCAAAAGTCAATAAACCACCTTTAACAAAACCGTTTGAACTACCGATGTGTACTATTATTAGTCTGCGCCCCTTTCCTGATGGTGGATTTAAACCAGTAGATAAATTATTTAAAAAAGCCTGTCTTCGACTTGTAACAGTTTCATCTTGCCAAAATTTATTTGGTTTATGTCCCTCGTTGATCCATGTTTCATCTAAATAAAATATATTTCTTCTTTGGTTTCTCATTTCTTTTATAGTCCTTAAGTAATTTCTTCTCCATACTACAATATCGCTGCTTTCTATTAAAATAGACTTTCTGGAATGCTTTTTCCATAGAAAACCTATTTCTTTTAAAAGTTTCCATAGTGTGCTTCGACTCATTTCAGGGTAATCCTTATCATGTCGAACCGTGGCAAGAACTTTGTCTACCGTCGGAAATTCTTTTCTAAAGAAAAACGCATGCACTTTCCTTCGAAGTCTTTCTTTCAAAAGATTTTCTAATTGAAATTTTGGTTTTCCTGGAGCTTTACGTGCTATTTGAAACTCGCCACATTTCTCTTCTTTAACAACTCTGTAAATCGTAGATTTCCCAACACCAAGCATGTTCTGTTTTATACTTACATAAACTCTTAAATAATAGCTCTAAATTGTTATATAAGATTGATTTTCAAGTTCCTAGATTAAAAATAAAATTAAATATATATAAGTAGAGGAAAAGTTTCAGCCTAGAGAAGTTATTTTCGGCTGAGGACCTTGTAATTGAAGTAGAGAGAATTTTTTTTTTCTTTTTTTAGAAAAAATTGTATTTCAGTAGAAGAGGAACAGTTTTTGGTTAAAGATTTTTTTATCACGGGGCCCGATCTAGAGAATTGTCCCCTGGGGCCCGGCCTGGCTCTCGGTGGCCCTGCCTAGATTGACTTTTATGTGTAGTAATGCTAACAAGATATCTAAATTTTGTGATATCTTTTTTTGTACCATATGTGAACTAAAAAAAAAAAAACTCGTGTACACTTTTTGTTTATTTTTTTTTTATAGCTTTTTTGGTTTTTAGTAGATATAACATTATTTTGTTAATAATAATTGTGAGTTTATTTTATTCTATATTTAAATTCTTAACTAAATAGTTTGAATAAGGCAATTTTTTGCAATATCTAATGTTCTAATTTGTAATGCTGTACTGATATTTAAATTTGATTTAATTTTTATTCTTAAGTTTTTGTATTTGCTCTATAAATGATTTATACTGTTGGACAATAAACACTATTATTATTATTATTATTATTATTATTATTATTATTATTATTATTATTATTATTATTATTATTATTATTATTATTATTATTATTATTATGATTTATTTCCATAGTAAGTAAACTCTTTTCACTCCGATTTGTGATCAAAATTTAGTCTTGCTCTAATTCTACTCCAACTTTTTCTACCCAAATTCCAATATTTATTTTTCTGAATGCATAACTTATTGTAGATGTATTCCAGAATCAATCCCGCAATAATTTTCATGCCTATTTCGTGCTATTTTAATAAAACCATCCTCTCCCCACTTTCTTCCCCAGGAATTTTTAAATAACCAGTAATCATTTCCATTTTCTGATCCATATCCGATTAGAAGTAAACAGTGATTACTTTCTGATGAACATTGATTATGATACCAAACACCACTTTTATAAAACATCCATTGAGATGAAGCGTATACACTAACTGCCAAAGGTCCTTGTTTCAAAATTTTTTCTTTTAATTCATCATCGTCACCAATAACCACATAGGCATTTTGGAAATAAATATTTATAGGGGGTACGGTTACGTTTGCGCAGTCATTTTGTTTCCCCGTGTATGGGTAATTGCTTTCAAGATGGATTCCGTTTTTCTTTACAAATTGAAGAGCAAGTAGTGGACTTCCTCCTGAACAACTTGATTTTGAATGGCAATCTACTATATTTTGTTCACTGAGGTCTAGGAGTTTTTTTGTTTTTCGAAAGTGGTAGCTTTCCAAGAGACCCACCTAAAAAAGAAATAAATTATTTTATGATTTTTCTACAACTTTTTTTTTATATTATAAACATTTTTCCATTGGTGTATGACTGATAACAACAAAATGTTGCATAGTGCAAATTAAAATATTTATTCAATATTGGAATGGATTTAAAAATGATAAATATATGCACAATAATAAACAAACAATGTCAATTTCGAAACTTTTTACCTACAAAAAGTAGATAAAATGAAAAAGTCAAAAAAGAATCTAGAACACTAAAAGTAAACATGTAATCTTTGTAGTAAAAATAAAACTACTAAGAAATATAAAAACCAATGTTAGTCAATCTTGAGATAACAAAAATCAATATTTGGTTTTAAAAAATTATTTTATTTTGTCTTGTTTCTCTTCGTTTTTGTTTCTATGTATAAAATATAAAACGTAGAAAAGATAGAAGAAGTAAATTTAAATACTTACCGCACAAAATACCCAGCAGGAACCACAGTGTCCCTGATTTTGCGCAGCAGTTACAGCACCAGCATCTCTCCAGTCCCAAAATTGGTCAGTACCATTTTGATAAGATTTCGTCTTATTTACTGTTACATCCTGGGTATATTTCGTTATATTTTCACTTTCATCCAATCCATATATATCAGAAAATTCCTTTTCTGTTAAGTCCGCAAAAATATTTACTTCTTGTAAGTATGTTTCCAGTCCTTTGGCATGTCGCTTGTTGTGTTTTTGGATGTTATTCCAGTTTTGCTTGAAGATTTTATGACGATTTTGTTCTTGTTCTTTGGATCCGTAAGTTTTGTTGTAATCTAACTGAAATAATATGTTTAGAATATTTAAGAGTTAAATAAATCTATTTGAAATAAACTTTTTTTGCAAACAACACATGTCTAGGTACCCCTAAAGCAATATTTCAATACAAGAACAACTCATGTAATATACAGGGTGGCTCACGCTCAACGGGACGGAGCTTTATGGGAAAACGACCAAAGATATAAAAAATTCGTTTGGGAGGAATAAGTAGGTTACAGACGGCTACAATTTAAAATTTGTTAGATGTATACAGGATGTCCCACACAAAAAAATTATCGATGAGTCTGAGTGTCAGCCTTCTCATTGAACGTGCTTTTTTATTTTTCAATGTTTATGTTCATGATAGTGCGTTACTTTTTTGTTGTTATTATTAACTATTTTTAAATCTTACGTGACATGCCGTTGTGGCTGGATAAAAGTTTGTGTTTATTTTTCAAACACCTTCGTTTGGTAGGTAGGAATGTAGCTATGAACAAGTACGTACTAGTAATATTAGTTATTTTGTTATTAGTTTATTATTAGTACCTATGTATTATGTATTACCAGTTAAATAGTAAAATAAATACATATAATGATAAATTAACTGTGGATTATTTCATTTACGTTGCGTTACGTGGTTTCCCTGTGGGTAGCTCGCTGTTTATTCCAAAATTAACAAAGTAGCTCAACACATTGAGAGGTTGGCGACCACTGATCTATATCAATGTCAAAACCAACGAGTCACTCCTTCATTTGCTAAAGCAAAACTACCTAAGAACGTTTCTAAGAAGCTCTCCTACAACATTGAGAAGAGGATCATTCACTCTAAAATCAACATTGATCTCAAAATTCTATGACCAACTGGTTCAGGTAACTCCTTATCAACTGTTGCAAGTTAATCTTAACGACATTCAGGATGATGTCGGTTTTTTTAAACACATTAAATTCAATAGATTAAAGCTCAAACTTAACAACTTAATACATAAAAAATACAATCAATCTTCTAACATTCAACATAAATTCTCCCCCTTTAATTTTCATGACAGAGTTAAAAACTTGTCTAACATTAGTTTTAATGATAATGAAATTGAGTTTCTTTCTTTAGGTTTAAAATTTGCAGTTAAACCTAAGATTCACAAAAAAGATATTGAAGAATTGTCTATTGATGTAGATTTTATTATTAACCACTTTTCTAATGACATTGATCTTACGAATCTTTTGAAATCACACTGCATCGCTATTTTATCCTTTAACACTATTGAACCCCATAAAAACACACTTATTAAACAACATATTAATGTATTAATGTGTGTACACACCACTGAACCTCTTCTTAAATATGTCTAATTAGTGATGTGAAATTACGTAAAAGCAGTGCGCATGTGTAGTGCATAGTTCCAAAATTGGTACATTAAAACAGATAGGAGAAGACGCCATTGAGATCAACTCTTAGTTTTAATATTATTCTTAAGCCTAGGTGAAATACAAATAGACAAAATAAAATGTTAAATAATATTTAGTACATTTTTGGTTAAATATACAAATTAGAAATAACTGACTTACTTTATATTGCTTCCAGTCTTTTTCTGACGGTCCTTTTGCTATATTTATTGAGTACAAAATGCAATTTGCACAGCACATTATACACAAAAAAATAATCACTCGAAAATATATTGTTCCCATTTTGAAAACCTTTAAAATTTTACAACGTATTTCAAGATGTGCATGTAGATAAACATCCTATTCGCACAACAAATTAGATTTAAATGATTTCTGGCGCCGCTGTACTTTCTTGACTTTGCTTATTTTAATGTAACAAAGCTAATTTTCTAATTTACTTCCAGCTGAATCCAAGAAAAACTCGGAGACAGTTTAATTAAAATTCGTCATCGTAAGATTACGCATTTAAAATCCAACATACGTGCTAATTTAGGCACTAAACACTCAGTAACATTAACAGTCGAAATATCTATGTAAACTATGAAAATATCGATATGGCATCTAGCAAATGCCAAATTTTTGTTGACATTTTTTGTATATGATATTTTTTAATCCATTTTTCTTTAATTATTATTTTAATTAATTCAAAAAATGCCGGTGTTACGTAGTGCAAAAAGCAAACGTCTATTCCCTCCACTGATGCGAGAACCTTCTGTAAGAAGCATGCATTCTTCATTCAGAAGCACGCACAGCCTTGGTAATAAGAACAATTTCAGTAAGACCACGATTAAATCAGAACCTATCAGTCCTACCCCCTCAAACACTGAAATAAACGAGATTACAAAGGTATTGGACAGCGCTCCATCTGAAGCTAAATTCTTCAGTGAAATATGCGAAGAAGAACTAAAAAAATTAATGAAAGAAAGAGAATTACTCAACAACAAAATCCAAGTAATGATCGATATAAGCAAAAGAAAAGACACAAAAAATACCGAAGCAGCCAGAATTGTCAAAAAATTATGGGATACTAATAAAAAAGGTGAAACAATGAAATCAGGTAGATTGACACCAAGAACTGCTGTAAGGAAATTGGCTCCAACTGAAGTAAAACGAATTTTCGAAGAAGCTAAGAAAAATTCTAATCATTTAAAACTAAAAAGGAAACTTTTAATTGCTAGAAAACAGCGAGTTGAATCTAAAATACATCTTGCAATTGAAACTATAAAGTTTTGCCGCAAATTTATTAGATTGTAAATAATTATAATGAATAATGTAATAATGTATTGTAATTGATACTAAAGTAATAGAGTTTTCTTTAGATAACTTATTTCTTTTAATTTGTTACCAAGCTTGTTTTCAGTGTCATAATGTTGTCTTTCATATTTCTTTAGTACCTGTAACATGGAGGTAGAAGGTAAAGAGACGCTGTCACGTAGTTTAAGACGCCATATTGTGCTAACGAATCCTTTCAACAGCTGATCTTAATAACATACATGTTCTGAATGAAAGGCAAATTGAAATAATTTTTAATATAGATCAAAATACCAGCTAAAATTGGAACACAGTAAAATCAAATGTAACACACCTCCTCCATATATAATAGAACGGAGCCTACCATTTGCATCTCTCAAGTGAGACGACCTCACAAAAGAGAAACAGGAGAACAAAAGAAAGGGATGAAGGAAGCAGAGAAGAGAAACATTACCGCTCTATCTTCTTCATCCTCCTTTCAGAACCTACCAGGGAAAGCTTCTCTTAAAAACTATAAAAGAAAATTACCTTCTAGGACAACCTGGTGTGGACTGAACGACCCACTGTGGCAAGGACTTAGTGGAACAAGGGTCAGGTGGTCAGCCAGTCATCCGAAGCGACGAAATTCTCTCAACCTCTCAAGTGAGAACACCTCACACAAAAGAGAAACGGCAGAACAAGAGAAAGGGATGAAAGGAGCAGAGAAGAAAAGCTCTATCGTCTTCATTCTCCTTTCCCAACCTACCAGGGGAAGCTCCCCTTAAAAACTATAAAAGAAAATTACCTTCTAGGACAACCTGGTGGACTGGACGACCCACTGTAGCAAAGACTCAGTGGGGCAAGGATCAGGTGGTATATTCGCTACCTTGATCAGGGCTTGACACCGAAGGAAGCAAAAAAAAAGTTGTTGGGGACAGGGCACATGGAAATGAGATCAAATCCATTTTCTATTTTTTGCACTATTTAGTTAAATATGAAAATAAATATAAAATTGCAGACTATACACGTTAGAATTGGAAATTTAATGATAACATCTCAAAAATTGAACATTTTTAAGTAAATATTTTGACCTAACTTTACACAGTTGCCAAGCGTTTTGATATGTAACAAGATATTAATATATAATTTTTAAATTCATATTAATCATTATTAATACATTTGATAACTAAAGGGGAATATAGTTCGAAGTCAATTTTTGTTTAAAATGAACTAACACCGCCATCTTGGAGATTTAAACCGAATATTTCTGCTGGTATGGCTAGAATTTGAGTAAAACAATCACTGTTTCTGTATTTTAATTAAAATTAAAAGCTATACAGTGTAAAAATATGAGTTTGTTAACTTTGTTTTATTTTTCTGACTCATTTTTTCCCTGTAATCTTCATTTATTTAAATAAAACTAATAGGTTGATGTTTAGCTTTTGGGGATAGGTCAGTTAGGGTCGAGATATTGTGATCAAACTTGGTATATAGATGTATTATCCTAAAAATATGAAAACTGCATACAAAAATTTCGCCCATCCCACCCCCTAACTGATATTGAGGGGGTGTCACCCTCAAAAAATTAGATACAATTTTTTTTTCAATAAAATAGTTGAAATCTGCGATACAAACCCAAAATTTCAAATTTTTCCAAAAATATTGCGGACTTAAAAAAATTTTCCACCTGAATTGTCATAGTTGCAGATTAGATAAAAATTTTTGACACATTTTCAATATACCTGATTTGCAATGGTTTTGAATAAAATTCTTCACCACCACCCCCTAGTGAGAGATAGAGGATGGGGGATGGCATCCCTAGAAAATTAAGTTGGAACTTGTTTAATGAATCAGTTGAAATTTATGATTTTTTTTCTACATATGTACCCAAAATTTCAAATTTTTTAGACCATTTTTTTTATTTTTGGACTATGTTAGTAATATACAGGGAAAATTAAAAATTAAAAGTAAAATATTTTTAATTTCAGTATAAAGCAAAATATGAAGCGTTGATAGGAATAAATAAAAAATATGCTGATATTTTTTTAATTTTAATAAGTTAAAATAATGTAATATACAGGGTATTCCAAAAAGTTGTAAGCAAGTGAATTAAAGTTAATTGTATATTTCAAAATGAATAATAGTCTCAATAATAAATTCTTCGTTACTTGAAAATCTATAATGAAGTTACAAATTTTATAAAATATAGGTGATATACAGGGTAATAAAAAAATAATGATTTTATAATGAATAGTTGAATATTTTTAAATTTTAGTATAGAGCAAAATATTAAGTGTGATAGGAATAGTTAAAAAAAAATGTTATGATATATTTTTATTTTGAATAGTAAAAAATAACAGTCTACAGGGTATCTCAAAAGTTGTATACAAATGGAAAAGTTTCATAAATTTTACAAAAAAATTATTCTTTTTAAAAATTACTGTATGAAAAAGAAAATACTTTTAAATTTCTGTATAGAGCAAAATATTAATTAAAAAATATGCTATGGCATATATTTTTTTATTTTGTATAGTTAAAATAACAATAACAATCTACAGGGTATCCCAAAAGTAAAATTTACATTTCAAAATGACAAATAATCTTAATAAAAAATCCGAAATAGCTTAAAAACCCATAATAAAGCTTCAAATTTTGTAAAATATAATTGATATACAGGGTATTTCAGATTTAAATGGACACAGCTTAATGAGAGGTAGATTACGCTTAGCTGAGTTCAAACCACTCCCATAATTAGCCTTTTATTTCACTCGTTTTTGAGATATAGGGTGTTTTATAATTTTTTCCAAAACTAAAATCGGTCATTTTGTTTGAACGGCTAGAGATATTTTAATAAAATTTTGTACAAAAGTTACACTTTCTTAGGTTAATGAAAGCCATAATTTAATTTTAAAAAATTCCATATTCCATATATTGCTCTTCTTAGCTAGAATATCACCCTGTAAGAAAATCAAGATGATGCCATTATTTTATTTATTGATCCACGTACTATTTAAATGTGCAGTAACATTTATTAAAATCCGACATACAGGTTGATATTCTAGCTAAGAAGAGCAATATAAAAAAAGAGAGTCCGGTCCTGGAATTTTTTTAATTTAAATTAAATTTTGATTGACCTAAAAGAGTGTAACTTTTGTACAAAATTTTATCAAAATATCTCTAGTTGTTCAAACAAAATGGCCGCATATTTTAGTTTTAGCAAAAGAATCATAAAACACCCTATATCTCAGAAACGAGTAAGATTAAAGGCTTAATATGGAGGTGTTTTGAACTCAGCTAAGCTATTTCCGTTTAAATGTAAAACACCCTGTATAGGGAGAACAAAAACAATGATTTATAATGAGTAGTAAAATACTTTTAAATTTGAGTATAGTTTTGGTAGAAAAAGATAAAACAATTTGCTATATATTTTTTTGATTTTGAATAGTTTTTATTTCATCTCTACATTTCTACGTTATAAATTCTTAAACCTAAATAGTTAATTGCATATACAGGATGTTAATTTATTAGAAAAATTGTAAAATCTGAACAATATTCGTATAAAAATGTTCCCCATTTAACTGTTTCTCTATATTCTATAGTTTCCAAGATCCCAATTTGTTCCACACTGCATATATTCTTCCCATTTTACATTTTAAAAATTTCCCATTACTAATTTTTGTTTTTTGTTTCAGCGAATTCCCGTAACGAAAATTTAAATCGCCGCAAATATTTCGAGTTAGTCGGTAGCACGATGTCAATGGTCTGAGCTCATGTTTTTTTCACTACTGACAATAAAGACGTTTGTTCTTCGAAAGTACGTCCTGGAATGTACCTTCCAAGGTCAAATGGACAAGGCTGCAGTTATACTACCTGAAGATACATCTACGTATCTAAGGGTTGATATAGAATTGAATGTGATACGATGATCATTAATATCGTCGGGTATAGAAGATTTCCGGACGCGTTTAAATCGGGAGGATCTACTGGAAATAATGGATATAATGGAGAAGTGAAAAGAAATACTTGGAACGTTAAATGGTGAGTGTTTTAATTGATATTTAATGTTTTCTGTAGGTAACATATTACACCATATAGGTAATATTAATAATATTAATAACGATTACGTCT